CTCCATCATCTTGGTGGCTCTGTGCTGGACTCTCTCCAGCAGTTCCCTGTCCTTCCTGAACTGTGGGGCCCAGAACTGGACACAATATTCCAGATGTGGCCTCACCAGGGCAGAGTAGAGGGGGAGGAGAACCTCTCTTGCCCTGTACCATCAGCCCAGGGAGTTCAGTAGAAGCAGCCATACTCTTGACAAACATAACTGCCCCCAACACTGAAGAGGTCAGGCTGGGAACCTGGTCTCCAGCTTTTGAATACCCAGAAGGAAATACTCTGTCTTCCCCATTTTTTATTATTTTTTCCTCATTGTTTTGTTTTTTCCAGCCCTGCTGAGCCCGGGTGTTGTTCTGTGTTACCTTTCTCAGAGGTTGTGTTTGGCCTTTCTTGCAGGAATTTTCGGAAGCACCTCCGCATGGTGGGGAGCCGAAGGGTTAAAGCACAAAGTAAGTGAGCACCTGTAAGATGTGGCTGTGAGGAGTTGGGGTTTGTGCCAGTGGGACTCGGGGAGCCTTATGTTGCAGGCACACGTGGGTAGAAAGGACCTGGCCTTGGGCTGGAGAAAGGATTTGACCTGCTGGTGCTATTTTACCCTACAAAAAGAAGACCAGGTTGTTGCAAGTCTCCAGGACACACAGATGTCTGCAAGCAGCCTGTCAGCTATTTCCAAGGACCCTCTGCCTTGGCTGTGGGAGATCTCTGTGGCCTCAGTGGAAGGAGAGCTGTGGTGTCCTTGTCACATCTGCCTGTGGTTTTCAGTCATCACTGGCATAGACACTTGTGAGGAGAACCAGAGCTGAGAGTTGAGCTGCCTGGAGACAGTGCTTCATGTACCAGGCAGACTGGTGGCTTTCTCTTTTCTCCTCCCCTGTCCCACCATGATCTCCACAGCAGGACCTGGGGGAAAGTGCCTGGTGGGAGCTGAGAGGACAGTGCAAGGGGAAAAAGAAGAACAGGGAAGAGATTGGAGCAAGGGGGAAATAAGGTAGTGTTTTGCCTCACTGGGAGAGAAATCATCACTTCCAGCCTGGGAAACAGCCGTTCCCTTTCCCTGAGAAAGGCAACACTCCTCCCTAACTTGGTTGGGGCAGCTCCCTTATCCCTGTGAAATGAGCTGAGAATGGTGTAACTGGCTCCAGAGAGCTGAGGATTGCTCCAGAAGAGGAAACAGCTTGTTCTTCCCACCCCTCTGTCCAAGGCATCATGTACAGACTACCCACAGCAAAGTGTTGTTGACTTGAATTTGCATTCTTGCCTTTCTCATATGCTTCGGGGAGTGAACAGCAAAGAGCATTGCCCTTTAAAGTGTCTTTATTGGCATCTGAGTTAGCGCTGCCTGAAGTGAGCAGGGCTCACCTCCCCCTAGAGCTGTCTGGAAGTTCAGGCATGCCTCTCTGCCTTGGTAACTCTCGGGTCATGTTTTCAAAGCTTTCTTTGTGTGCACAAAGAGTTAAATGCTTTTGGTTTTAAATGAAAGCTGAGGATGGAGATCACCTGAAGAACTTACTGTGTGCTTTTTATCTCCCTGGACACCCACACTTGGACACACTGCAGCAGAGGACATGTTGCTTCTCAGCTCTTCTAATGTAGATCTGCAGTGAATTCCTGTGCTGATAACATGAGATGCTTTTACTAGATACACTACAGCAAACTTGCTCTGTCTGCTACCAGAAATAGATGTTAGTGGCTATAAGTGGCTGTTAATCTGGGTGTAATGGCTCTCACAAGCCAAGTCAGACATTGTGGTTGGCAATTCCCAGGAACGTGCCTGCAGTGCAGCCAGCTGAGCCAAGCTCCCTGGATTCCACTTGGGAAATGCTGGTACAAACAATATAATGCCCCTTGTTGAGGGGAGGGGGGGGTGGGGAAGAAAGCTGGGGTGGGGGGGAGTGCAGGCAAGTGAAAACTGAAGGATTTCTTCTTTTGCAACAAAATTTAGAAAGCAGGAGCTTTCCAGAGTCCCTCCCTCTGCCTGGTCCAGCTCTGATTGCTGGTCCAGCTCACTAGACCATGAAGGGAGAACTGACTGGAGAACTGCTGCCTTTTTCTGGCCGTGTGTGTGTCATGAGCTGTTGAGGACATCTTCCTGTCAGGCCTTTGAGTCAGAGTATTTACACTGGGACACTGGAATAGCCTTGATTAAATTGAGGTTTGAGCTGTGTGCATTTAAGGAGAGACCATCACTTGTCCTCCTTTTTCTGTGTTACGTACCCCATAATGGTCCTGCTCAGAAAGTGGGCACTTTGTCTTCTGCTCTCTAGAAGATATAGACCCTTGTTTGCTGTTTGGAAAGGACTTGTGTTTGGCCAGTGGAGGAACAAGCACGGGGAGGTCCGTGATGTGTGGCTTTGGTGGAAATCTACTGGATGTTTTGTTTTGCTGGCAGCAACAGAGGAGTCTGTTAATGTCGTGCTTTGGTTTTATCCTAGCATTTGCCGAACGGCGTGAGAGGAGCTTCAGCAGGTCCTGGAGTGACCCAACTCCCATCAAAGCTGATTCCTTCCATGACTCTCGAGAAAGTGAGTTCTGAGTCCTTTGAGCTTCCTCCTGGAGGGCCAAACCCTCCAGCTGAGGTGTTGAATGGAGTCCCACTGGACTAACTCCTCTTGTGCTCTTTTGTCCTATCTGTGATCCTTTCAGTTTCGTGAGCTCTGACCAAATAACACTCCACCTGTCCATCTATGTGTACCTAGATTTATTTGTAGAGCACAACTCATCTAACCTCATGTTATTGTGCAGTTTCCAGTGGACACCCAGTGGTACAGCTCTCTTGCAGCTCTATGTTCCCATCATCCCTTATTCACTTGGGACCAAACAACCTACCTGGAAGCTCACCAGTCCAAGGCTACGTTCACCATAGTGGGGCAAACCTGCCTGGCTTCCTGTGCCAGAGCCCCTTCTGAGCTTTTTCCTGGGCTAGAACAGCTCAGGAGCACAGCTGCAGGGCTTCATTAGATGTAGCTTTGATTTCCTGGCCGTGCTGGTTGCACAGATGATAGCTTGGGGCAATCTGATCTTCATTTGAGCTGCCAGGAATTCCTCTGGGAATCTCCAGTCATGCTGTGATGTTCTGCTTGTGGGGACTGTGATGCTGTTGTGTTAATTTACAAGAGGAAATGCCAGCATCTTCCCATTATCCTTTTACAAAGGGAACATTTGTTTTACCCAGATTTTATTGAAATCCTGGAGGCAAGGGACTTGGTGGTTATGAGTTTGCCTATGTTGAAATGGGCTGTATGAGAAATGAATTTCACTAATGAAATGAACTGAGCTATCAGGTAAGCATGAGATCCAGCCCTCCTAGCTGGAGAAGACACTGTAGCAGGTTGTAGAGGGAGAAATGTGAAAGGCCAGGTACAAAACATGACCCGATTGTTCCTCTGCAGTCTGATTCCTCCCCACTCCCTCAGCTAACTCAGAGGCGAATGGAAAAGACATGGTTCAGCCAGGCTGCAGGCACTGCTCAGTGGCACTCGGACATCCCAAAAGCACAAATCTAGAGACATCTCGGTTCTTTTTCCTCAGTCCCTGACTTCAGTGAACCATCTCTATTTTTTTACCTTTAACAGTCAATTATATTCCTTCCAGATATTTTTTTTCCCCAGGAAGCATTGAAGGCTGACAGGTAAGGTCAATTCAATGGAGAGCCAATTCAAGTGTACTGTTGCAATACTACTGTGTTTGTTACGGCTGTCCTCGTGCTCTGGGACTTCTCTGCCAGGATCAGTTTGACCAACAAGGCAATTTTTCTTTATAACCACTCAGAAAACTTAAGTCAGAGCAGTGATTGTTACAAGGAGACCAGCTTTGAAGTCTTTAGACTTGCTCATCAGCTTGGCAATGTTAGTGTAGAGAGTCTGTCTTGCATTCTGTCTCCTCTGTTTCTGAAATGACAGGCTGACTGCTGTGAATTAGCATTTGAAAGCTCAACTGGGTGACTGTGAGAGTGATGAAATGTGATGTGATGCGTGGTATCAGGCTGTGTCTGTGTGTGTGTGTGTTGCACTCTTCATTCGTTAAGTGTTTGTCTGTTTAAAGATGCCAACCCCAAAGCCCCAAAGCGTGGTGTCTGTCACTCTGTGGAGGAAAGGAGGGCACGAGTCTTCTGGCTTGTGGTACATCTTGTGAGGTGGCTGCACAACAGAACTGAGTGGGGAAGGCAAAATGTTCTGCCCTTGTAATGCAGGCTGTGTTCTGGCAGGCCATGACCTTCAGGATTCCTGCGGCACTTTGGATGGTGACTTTGACTTGAACTGGGAAGCAGAAAAGGAACTTGAAGCCATGGCATGTGATGGAGAAGACTTTATTCCACCAAAAATAATGGTGAGGGTTTCCAACTCACTTACCTCTACTACTCAGGCTCTGTCTGTCTTTGCAGAGCTGCAAAGTTTAGGATCTTCAAGGGAAGAGGCAAGTCTTTTGTATAAACTCCTCAGGTGTGTATGAGGGTCACTCAGAGATCAGCCAAGACATGATATTCAGCATCTGTTATCGCTGGGGTTAATGTGTTGAAAGAAAACTAGAAGTGGAAGGACCTGTAGCCCACCCCCAAATCCAAGCAGGACTGTCACCAACGCAGAATTGAGTTAGCCTGAGTCTTGATAACCATGCCAGTAGAGACCTGAGTCCCCAGTCCTGGCAGTCCCTCCCTCCTGTTGTTACTTGCCTGATTTGCTTTGGAGCCAGATGTCATCCCTTGAGATGCTTTCTGCTCTTTCATCATTCCTTGATGCTAGGCCCCCCCCCTTTGCTCTGCTCTGTGGGGTTTGGCAGACAGGACCAAATTCTGACACATCCATTCTTTGGCCAAATGCACAAGTACTCAGCTGAAATGAGGTCTTGAGCTTCCAGCTTCTCCTCAGGGCAGTGTTTCCAGTCTGGCACAGCAGTACTGGGTGAATGGGTCCTGCTAAGACTTGGGAAGAGTGAAGGACATGGAGACAGTTTTCTTTTATGTATGTTCCCAGGCAGTCTGTGCAGTCTCAGCCTTGAAGCTCTCTCAGGGCCAAGTGAGACTCAAACAGCAGGAACCCAGCCCGTGGGTTTGCTCAGCCCTTGGTACCTCCAGTGGGTCTCTCCAGGTGGTGTGTGTGAGGAGTGTCCAGCCCTGGGCTCTCTATATTGTTCCTCTTCAGAAACTTTCCATTAACTCTCAAGAGGCTGAAGCAGTGATGTGCTGTCTGCCAGGAGGGAGAGCTTGGAATCCATCCCAAGCTGGAGCCCAGGCTGTGCTTACGGGCCCACCAGCACTGCTGCCTGCTCTGCTCTGCTCTCAAAGCCTGAAATCACAGCACAGCCAAATTGCCCATGTTCCCTTCACAGCCCTTTGGCTTGTGCTGATGGCAGGTCACCCTCTCGTGCTGATGGAGCCAGCTGAAGCTTCAGCCAGAGTTGCCAGGCAGCCTACATCTGCCTGATGTCCTATGGCTGTGTGCCTGCCTGTGCCTGATGCCATTTCATCCCTTGGCTGGTTCCTGTTCAGGCACGTGGCCATCCCACCACCAGCCAGCACTACCACCAGTTTGAACAATCCTCTGCAGCCAGAAGCACAGACTCTCGCACAGAGGAAGGCTGTGTGGAGGTGATCTTCACTGGGATACAGCCATTTGTGGTGACACACAAGCTTCATCCTCTGTGCACACCAGTCTCCCCTTTACAAACTGTCATCTCAGACTCCCTCCTGCCTCTTAGGAGGGCTGTGTGCTCATTTGATGGGGGTCGAGGAGGCTGTGACACATGGGGGGACTTGGCAGGCCTGGGGGTGCTCTGTAGTGGACCAAAGGCTTGGAGGACCTTCCACAGGGGTGCAGGTAGGCTGGGTTAGCTGTTAGTTTGGGTAACACCTGAGAGCAACTGAACAGGGTACTGTTATCATGGTCTTTGTGCTTCTGCCCAGACTCTACTGACTTCTCATGCTCAAGCTCTTCTTTTTTCCCCCTTCCAGCTCATTTCTTCCAAGGTGCCCAAAGCAGAGTATGTCCCGACAATTATCCGCAGGGACGATCCCTCCATCATCCCCATTCTCTATGTAAGTACAGAAGTGCATCACTTCTGCTGTGTCTGCATGTGTGGGAGCAGGCTTCATACTGAGAATTTGTGTGTGTGTGTGTGTCCTTATCCCTAGTTCCTGTTATGGTGATTCTGAAACACTGATGTGATTTGGAAAAGCTGTCAGGAAAGGGCTGAGGGTGTCCTGAACCCAGATTTGGGGGTCTGGGGTAGCTTTGTGGGAGCTCAGGTCTAGGTGGGAAGAGTAAGGTGGAGTGGAAATGGCACATGTGAGCTGCCAGACTATGCAGGTGCAGCCAGGCTGTGTGGGAAGACTAACAGGGGAAGGCAGGGCAGGCTGGAGCACACAAGCAGAACTGTGTGTTGCCAGGCTTAGGGCTCCTCCTTATGCTCATCCTTGGAGAGCATGGGCAGGAGCTCAGAGCTCTGCAGTGGACCATGAACCCCATCAGCCTAAGTACAGTGGTACCTCCCTGTCAGTCATTAATTTAACCTTGATTTTTCACCAGGAGTCATAGAATCACAGAATCCCAGACTGGTGTGGGTTGGAAGGGACCTTAAAGCTCATCCAGTTCCAACCCCCCTGCCTGAGCAGGTGTCTGAAGCAGCAGCAAGGAGATGTGGGTCTCTTATTCCTTATCACTTTATATTCATTTAATTGGGAAGGGAAGGGTGATACTGACAGCCCAGAAAACTCAGTGTCCATGTGCAGCAGGCAGTGCTGCTGGGGGTTCAGCTTCCCTGCCTCTTTCTTTGAGAGCTGTACGGTTGTCCCAATAACCCTGCAATGCCAGAGGCAGACGTGTTGGGATTGTGGCTGTTTGTCAGTCAGCTTGGACACATGGAAAGCCAGAGGCTGGCTACAAAACATGGGCCGAGTGGCAAATATGGACTGTTGTTGGTGCTGACTACATCTGATGGATGGGGTGTGCTTTGGGCTTGTCTGCAGGATTCACCTTTGGATGGACTTGGTCTTCATGAGCCATTCAGTCTTCAGCTTCTTTGCTGAGATGTGTTTTAGGGTGGTGATTACTGTGATGTGACTAGAAGCCATCCGTTGGTATCATCGTGCTCTTGGAGCATCTGTTTGCCTGGGAGTGGAGTTGTGTGCAATATCAGAGACTATAATAATGTCATGGGAGCTGGTGTAGTGACACTGAACCTTGATATGGTTCCTCTCTTGTTTCCAGGACCATGAACACGCCACCTTTGATGACATCCTAGGTACGTGAGTGTTACTTCTTTTTCTTAACTCCTGCCTGTTGCAAATGTACCTGATCAGTATATTAAAGTCACTCCACTGTCCTGTGCCTCAGCTGCCACTCACAAAGGTGTTTTTATCACCCCAGTTACACCTGCCAGTCAATCAGTTACTGTTGGATGTGCTGCAGTCATAAAACTTCCCTTCTTTGGCCCATTTTCTATGCCAAGCTCCCAGTTTAGGAAAGGGAAGCTGAGGCACAAGGCAGCAAAGATACCTGTTTGTTGTACCCTTGTAGGTGAGTAGGAGCTTTAAGAGAGGGTCAGGACAGCTGGGTCTGGTGCTGTGGTCACTAGAGAGCAGGGTCTGGTGTCGCACGTGTCTCCTCTGCCCTGTGATACCCCAGGGTTTCCTGCTTTCCACAGCATGGAAGCAAAGGGTTTGCTCTGATGTCAGTGGGAACGTAGGTGCTGAGCACCTCTCACAGCTCAGCCTCTTGCCTGAGAAGAAATAATACTAATTTTTAACTTCCTCCATGGCTCATCTTTTGCAACGTGTTTTTTTTGGTTTTTTTTTTTGCAGAGGAAATAGAGAAGAAGCTTAACATTTATCGGAAAGGCTGCAAAATCTGGAAGATGCTGATATTTTGCCAGGTACGTGAAAGTTGTTAAGTGCTTGGGTGGTTTGTTACAAATTAGTCTCTTTCTACAAGGAAATTACACAGAGGAACCAATATTCCAAAGTCAGGTTCTGTTAAAATAACTGCATGTGTACAGCTTCTCACTTCTCATTTCCCCAGACACCGAGCAGTCCCAAGTTGCTGTGACAGCAGGAAATAAAATCTGACTTAGTGTGGCCAAGTCCAGAGCTGGGCTCCTTCTCAGCTGCTTTCAAGGAAACCCAGGCAAACCAGCATCAGCACAGACCTCAAAAGGAGGATTTCAGAGAAAGGAACAAGCATTTGCAACGTGATGGTTGTAGTTTTCATGCAGCTTCAGTGTGACAGTGGTGGGTGTTGTGGATCAGAGTGGCAGATGGCACAGCTCAGAGCTGGAGGGAAGTGTATGCAGGAGAGGGGTCAGGGTACAGGCTTGCTGAGCTATGGGGGGATGGATTCAGGCCCTGCTGGAGCTGGGGCTTGCTGGGAATTTCCTTCCCAAAGCTTTTTCCTCAGGGTGGTCAACTTTGGACTTCCCCAGCAGCTGTGCAAGGAACCTTGAAATGAGAAGTGAGGAAGGTAACCTGACTTGAACTGCCTCCCACGTGCCTAATACTGTAAAACAGCAGAGTTTGCAGCACACTGACCTGGAGGTTGAGACTTAATTTTCCTCATCATAGAATCATAGAATGGTCGGGGTTGGAAGGGACTCTCTCAGCCTGTCCTCATAGGAGAAGTGCTCCTGCCCTCGAATCATCCTCTGGACTCTGATGTTGTGCTCAATCTTCTTACGCCTGCTACTGCCAAAGTCCAGTATCTGCAGTGACGTCTCTCCTGCTTGTCCCTGCTTTGCTCAACTTCTCATCTGCCCACGACAGCGAGTCCCTTACCATCCCCAAATGAAAGAGACTTCCTTGTCTTCCCTGTTACTCTCCAGCCACCCACTATGAAGATTTTTTTTCTTATTATTGTGCCTTGCTAGAGTGAGGTGGGCATATAAACCAGAATCCAACCCCCAACACACTCCCCATATGTGATCCACCAGGA